AAAAAAAAAAAAAAAAAAATTTAAAATAAAAAAAAAAAAAAAAAAATGATATGAATAACTGTATAGGTCATTAACACTTTAACTGCTGTTTCTTCTGCTCTACTTCATTTAACAGCTATCCCCTGCTGAGGAACAGGCATTGATTATTGATTGATTTCAATGAACTTCAAATCGAGTCATTGATGCTAAAACCCATTTCCAAATAAATCAAAGTCATCTCTCTAACCTGCAGTGTGAGTTAGGCCTACAAAGACGACAAAGTAAAGAAGCTTTCTTCCCATTTATAATTAAAAACCCAAAACTTTTATACATACCAAGATAGGGGACACCTTCTTTCCTCATGCCATCAACAGTCTTCTGAAGAACAGTTTCTCTTATTTTCAGCAGTAAATCTTTAGAAATCTAATAAAACAGGATTAGATAATGGTAAAAACAGAGCATGTGATTGTTTCCCCGCTGTTACGGCGTTTTGAAGAGCCAAGGAGAACACCTGGATGGTCTGTTGCTCACTCCAACACATCACAAAAAGAGAAAGCTAATATTTTTTCCTTTCTCGGCAGGCTACATACTACAGCATTAATCCAACAGGTTGGATCTTTTTCAGTCATATTTCCAAGCTTAGATCTAAACGTGCAAGTAGTCCCACTGGCTTCACGGGAACAAAACATCTACAGAGTCATAGCAGCATTCAGATAAGGCCTCTCCAAGGACAAATGATCTACGGAAAGCACAGTGGTGATTTATCATATTTTGTTGAACAAAATTAAGAGCTTTTTGAAGGAACAAAACTGTCAAATTTTGAATTTTTGAATCTCTCTCCAAAGAGAAAATTAAATGGCCATAACATAGGTCAACAGGAAGCAAAGTAAATCCTTTTGCAGACTATTTTCAGAATAGAAAACAAAAAAAACCAAACTACTATGAGCTACAGCAAGAATTCATCATTAGCTTATCTTGACAAAAACAAAAAATGTGGTTTAAGCATTTATTTCTAATGATGAGTATTTCATAACACTTAGCATCATAGAATCATTTAGGTTGGAAAGGACCTTCAAGAGTATCAAATCCAACTGAAAAAGAAAACAAATCAAAATATGAGGTTTCAGAAATAAAACTTCCATCTTAATAATAATTTAATGAAGATAATTTAAAATGATTTGGTAGAAATAACATCCTCCATAGAAAAATGAATTATCAAGTTACAGGCTTTGACTTAGTTTGTTTTAGACAACAAATTCAATCCACAAGACGCCACTGCCCTCATTGCTCTGTTTGCCATAGTGAAACTGAAAATCCAGATTGCTTTGAGTACTAGAGCTGCAGTATGGGTGCAGCAATACATCATCTTATTGCATTTTTACCTGAGGTGCTGGAGAATAAGCTCCCATCCCTCCAGTGTTAGGGCCTTCATCTCCATCCTTCAACCTCTTGTGGTCTTGCGCTGGGGGCATGGGAGCAATTGTTGTGCCATCAGTGAAACATAAGCACTGGAAAACAGGAAGAATAATGGAATTCCAAGCATATGACTAACATTTCATGAAGTGCAAAAAAGAGAAAATCTTTTCTTTTTGATGTTGCAAAGATGCATAATTAAGAGTACAAATTCTATCTCCCTAATAAAACAAACTACAGCAATCTCAACACTTTCTTCTTTTGCTCAGAAACCATTGCCTCGCTTTATAAGACCTTCCTGCAACAACCACTTCTAATACAGCATGTAGAAAATTAAGTCTTTTCTACAATTTTAAAATTAATATATATATACATATATTATTAATATATAATAATTTAAAATAACACCCATAGCTGTACTGAAAAGAAATACTCAAAAAGTTTAAAAAAAGTCTCTAAAATGCCCCACAGTGGAAGTTATTTCCTCACTCCTCCTCCCCTCTGCCCTGGAAAGAAGGCATTACATTCCTTCGAAAATTTCCTTTTCCTTGTTGACAAAACTCTGTTTGCTTTTACCTTACTTATAAATTACTTATATACCTTACTTATAAATTACTTATATACTTATATGATTTGAAGCTCAATATCTTCATAATAACACATCTGCTAGCATCCTACATAACTAGATAATGATGCTCACTGTTTGGGCTTCTGATAGCACTACTACTCACAAAAATACTGTATAATGCTAATTAAAAGCCAACTCAGGGATCCCCTGGAAAATCCTAAGTGTGAAAATATGATGAACTAGCAATTTGTGGAAGGCTAATTATTTTGACAGGCAAAGTGAGCAGTATTTTCTTCATTATTGTGATCAGTCATCTTAGGAAAAAGAATTTAATTTGCACGCTTACATTGATGTGTTCCGTTACAGTAAATCTGCATGCATCCTAACAACAACACATTTTTCAACAGAGAATGGAGATCTGGATAACCTGTTGGTCCCTCACAAGGTCAAACCAGCCAAGAAAGAATATGGATGACAAATGTCTGCAAATATAATTTTTCATATCCAGCAGGAAACCAGATTGTGCAGTGACTGGCAGCAGTTAGAGATGATCGCTTACTTTACAAATGCCACCACCTCCAAGATCAAAGTTCACAACATCTAGTATAAGTCAATTGCAGCTTCAGGTCTCAGGAACCTGAGATGGCATTTGGCTGTTCTACTTTGTGTGATGCCAGTGTCAAGTTCCCAAGCAACCTCAAAACCGAGCTCTAATTCTCCCCAAAACTGAGCTCTAATTCTCCTTTTCTCTTTTACACTCTGCTGATAAAATTTATTTTTTAAATCAAGGAACAGAATCATGTTTAAATGAAATTTTCTCTCTCCACCTGCAAAGTAAATCAGTGATGTCAAAACTTTCAGCAGCCTTTGGTTACATGCCCTTCAACCCTGAGTGCATTCCCACACTGCAGTATTTCTGGCAATGAAACTGATTAAAGTGTCCTGCCTGCACCTGTCTCGTGTTGCTTGTTCCTGTGCACCAAAGAAGTTTACTGACCCCTCAAGATATAGTTCACTATGTTCCTTTAATTAGCAAAGATGATTAAAAAGATTTTCATTTTCCCAACCACTCATTCTTCTGTTACTCTCACTTCACCACAGTTACTTGTATCAATTTCATATGGGACTGGGCTAAAACCAGACCACAGAAAATACGCAAGTTGCTGCTGCTTTCCTTGAAAAAAGGTCTTCAGGCTATAGCCCTATGAACAAGTAAGTACTACAACTGAATCAAAGGCCAACAGCAGTGAAGGTGGAGGAAGAAGGAAGGGAAGAAACATCCTACACTGTCTTTATTGCCAGAGAAATCGTAACACGGAAGTGCACACTGCATTATACTCAACATTTTTATGTTCTGATTTTTTTTCCCCTTGTGGTAGCAGCGGATTACTGCTTGAGCTATTAACTACTCATAATTTGAATTATTTTAGCAGACAGCAGGAAGTTTGGTTCTTAACACATCTGCCTTTATTTAATAAAATGGTATTTATAAGCAGTTAACTGTTTTTAATGTAATAAAATCCTTTTAATCCCTGCTGTTTACTTATCTGTCTGGTGTTTCTAAATATCTCAAACATGTACAATCTAAGTGCAACAGTGAGATGCATACTTACAGAAACTTCTTCCCCCTCAAGAAGTTCTTCAACAACAACAGTTTCCCCAGCTGTGCCAAAAGTTTTATCCTGCATTAAAAAGTCAATCTCTTCAGACCTGTATTTCAGTCATTTTATAACAATCAAAATACAAGTGTTTCAGATAACGTCTCATACAAATCAGCATTGCACCACTGAACTATAAGATACTATGCTGCAGACACCAGCTGAGGACCTAACCTGTGTACATCTTCTTTTTCAGTTCTATGTTCCTGACTGTTCAGATGGAACTGCTTCGTTTTGGTTCCCTTCAGATTTCGATGCTAATTTATTTCGTAAACATCCTAACCAAACATATGCTTAAATATGTAACTCTACAGGAATTTTACTACACGTGTAAGTGCTGTGTAACAGGAGTTTTAAAGCTGATGTTGCATGTCAAGATACAGCTTAATTGCAGTGTTAATGTTAGAGCACTATAGCACCTGATTCATTGTAGCAGAGCCCCCAAGGACGCAGAGATTAAAAGCAATTCATACTGAATTAAGTGCAGACCTTCAGTAAGAGCCATTTTATTTTAGCCTACTCGTACTATACCTAGAAAGAGTACTTTGCCTCAAGCAATACACATGACAGCTTTCCAAACAATGTCGCTGTCCAAATAATGGATAAAATATTTGACTTCTGCTAGCTAAATGCCTATTATATAGAAATAAAAGGGAAAAAAAAAAAGCATCTCGGATTTTGACAGGGTTAACAACTTTTTTCTTTGTTTTGTGAGAACTCTTCCAATTGGTGCTTGTATGTTTCTACTCACCTGCATGATTTCATTAACAGCTTTACAGGCTTCTTCTTTGTTTGATGCCACAATTACTCCTTTGCCAGCTGCCAGGCCACTAGCTTTTACAACTAAAGCAGGGAAGTTTGCACTTTAAAGATAGAGAAGAGAGATTCAACAGTAAACACTCTATATTCCAATTATATATTTTAAGCATTCTGAAAAATGCTGACGGTTGCAAAAGCAAAATACTCATCAGTATTATAGTAATAACTTCGTGCTACCAAGCAACAGACAAATAAAATCCAGGATTCTCTTCTTACGCTGTCCTGAGGATTTCTGCTTCCTGGTTTGTTTATCACTGAATTTCACTATGGTTCTGAAAGGTTGCTGTTCTTTGAACAATTTAACATTGTAGCAATGTTGGGTCAGCTGGATCCTTCTCTGCTAAGTAGATCACTATTCGTTGAGTAAGCCCACAAGCAGAATTTATACTCATGGAGGCAAGTACAGAAAATACAGAACATACTATGTCTTTCAGACTGGATTTCAGACTGTCAGATCAATTTCCATAGTTGGCAATCTGAAAAAAAATAAAAACTTCTCCCATATTCGCACGTAGAAAGCTGAACTTTTAATTTTCATTAAAAGAGCAATAAATAAGGAACCATTAAATTATTACTGAAATGTGACAGACAGATTATCCTTTAAAGCCTCTGCAGGTGTTCTATCACAGCTAAAAGTATTAATACATTGGTAAGAATTTGTTTGTTTTGGATAGCTGGCACATTGAAAAAAAAAATCCACTACAAAGAATTTTACCTGTTAATGAAGCCACATGCTGCCTTCGGATCAGTAAAAGATTTCCACCTTGCAGTTGGGATCCCATGACGATCCAAGAAGGATTTGGTAAAGCTCTTACTGGACTCCAGCTGAGCTGCCTTTGCCGTGGGACCAAAGCATCTTACTCCAGCTGCTGTCAAGTCATCAACAATTCCTATAAACACCAACACAGAATTTTTTTCAAATCACCAGATGATTTGTAAGTCATGTAGTTCAAATCTACAGACACATTAATTTGTTAGAGCAAGCATTCAGGAGTTATAAGCCATATTTATGTTTACCCTGTATCTGTTTTATAAAATGGGCCTTACATGTATTTTTCACTCTAACCAAGATCAAGTAGCCCTACAGTGTTTGGAGTTAAGAAGACCTGTTGCATTTTGTAAGATATTACAATCTTTCCTCAGTTTATTACAGCTTTTAACCAACTAGTTGACATTAGTATTTCATGAAGATAGCAACTCTTGATCATGCAAAAGGATAAAATTGAAATTATCACTGTTAAATTTTTTTTTTTTTTTTTTTTTTACCCCTGAATAATTCTTATATTTGGAAGAATGAAAATTCCACTGGAAAACCAATACCCTTTTTGAGTTTCTTATATGGAAACACTTCGATAGCTGTTTTACTAAACTCAAATACTTTGAATGAAATTGAACAGTTAAGGATATTTTAACTGCTATATTTCTCATGTGCTTTGAACTTTATTTTCATCACAGCAGAATCCTGAATTTCAGGGAAACTGCCACAGAGGATTTGTTTCTTTTCCTGATGAAGATACTCAGATACTGTTGAGTGGTGGAAAAAAGATGGGGACTAGAATTTCTTTTTCTTCCTAAAGCAAGAAAGCTTTCACTTTTAATTTTCTTTCTCTTACCAGCAGCGAGAGGAACCTCTGGACCAACCACAACCAGCCTGATCTCCTGATCTCTGCAGAGCTGAGCAAGTGCAGCATGATTGCTGACTGAGACAGCTGTCAATGACAGAAAAGTGTGGTAAGACTGTATTCACTACTGTTACTTGGTAGTTATTTATCATATAAACATGAAGTGGTGTTTTCACAAGTCTCACATTCTTGAATGGCAAGACACTGTGAATCTGGAATAGAGGCATGCACTAATATATAAATACTCAGAACAACACATGTACACATATGGAAAAAATCCAAACAAAACAAACCACTGAAACCCTAAGCAAAGGTTGTAACTTGACATGCACCGTAAACCCATCTTGCTCTTGAAGGCGGAAAAAAAAGTTTCAGGTTTCCTTATACTGCCAACATGTTCTCATCTCTACAGACATCCTGTTTGCCAGCACAAGAAGCATCATAAAAGAGCCAAATGAAAAATAATTCACAGGCAAAACCAATATAATAATAATAATAATAATAATAATAATAAAAATAAAAATTATTCAGCCAGTCTCTTCCTTGTTTAGGTTCATCACAAAGCTTTACATATGTTCACGCCAGAACAGCGCAGGGACAGGAACAAGTGGCTGCTGGTGGAATTGCAATTGCTTTTTTTCTTCACGTAGTGACAGTTAAAAAAATGCTACAATGAATGGTGATTTTGCTGAAATAAAGCAAAATCTGAACACTTGTTCTTACATTAGTAAGGAAAGGTACTTTAATTATGGGCAAAGATCTATTGGCAAGTTACAAAGATCTATAGCACAGTTACATTTCTGTAAACAAGCACTTAACATGACAATTGTTGCAATTCCAAAAACCATGTAAGCAAAATAAAAAGTTTGCTAGAAAGACCATAATGTCAAGCCTCTTGATAAAAAATTTGCGCAAAGGCAACACGAAATGCAAGTTCCACTACTTTATCAAAAAACAAATAAAGCCAAGGTCTGCAAAGGACTGGTACGTGAACTCACAGAGTCAAATGCTGCAAGCGTGGCCCAGCATGGATTGGCTGCCTGCACTGGGAGGAAACTGGCACATCAGAGTACAGATCTGCAAACAGAATGAAGTGCAGATCCTCCCTGGTGATGGAATACTTGCAGTTTTGTCTGTGAAGTCATACTAGAGACCACATTGGCAAGTATGTGAAGAACTGATGTCCTCTTCCAGTCAAGTTTCCAGAGAAGGGGAGGGAGAGAAATGAGAAGCAGTGATAAAGCATCTTCTGTTAAACACATCTACACAATTATGTTGGTGTACACTTTGCTTCTGCCATCCCACGTGAATAAATTCTCCCCTTTCACAAGAGAAGCTATTATTCTAAGACATAAAAGCAACTATCTGAAACTTCTCTTTTGATTGTAGATTTGCCCCATTTAGGTGGAGTGGTGGGGAATAAAATGCTAATAAAAACTACCTCCTTGATAACCATTCAACAGTTCAATTACTTTGTTCCATGAAGATGTGTAAGTAAGGAATGAAAGGCCTCTGAGACCTCTGTGCAATTTATCCCAATTGACTTCTGGCTCACAAGAGTGTAAAACCAAAAGCATAACACACTTGGCTTTATAGTACTGGTAAACATAAAGGTCAATACTGTCTTTCAGTCCCACATGGCAGTTGTGAAAGCAGTTCAAGAACAGCAAATCCCAGCCAAAGAAAATGGGAGCTCTGGTGAGCAACTGAAGAGGATCAGTATCTGTTCCCTTGAGATCAAGCTACATGAAAGGGAACAGGGAAAGAGCCTGCAAGATGACTGTGCCTGTCATCCCAAATTGCCTAGCCTCAGGTCTCATCTACCAGCAATGTGAGGGTGAACATGGTAAAACATTTACATTATGTGGAAATAAACAGAAAGGAATAAGTCACACTATTAAGATATAATTTTAACTTCTACTCTAAACACAAATTTCCACATGATGTAAACTGAAGGGAGACATCTCTGTAGCAGTGTTTTTTTTTTTCCTCAAAATGACAGCCAGACATACATCTCAAACCAAACAGAAGGAACTTAACCAAGATTTTAAAGCCAGAACATTTTAGTTAAAAGTATTAGCTAGCATGAGAGCTAAAATGCAGTGTTGTCAGGATGCTAAAAGACATTCACAGAAACACATATGTATACCTAAAAAGTCAGCATGCCATTCTGTACAATTTTAGCACCGAATTTGCCCTGCTAGTTAAATATAAAGTGAATATAAACCTATATTTAGCCATTCAACCCAAATCTGTCTGTACTGTCAGGAAAGATTACTGACTCAAATTAACCATGAAAACTTTTTTGTGACTTCGATAAAGGCAACATCTGAATAATTAAAATTTATTTATAGTTTTAAGTTCACCTTTATATGTTTCAGAAATCATCTGAGAACTACAGCTGCAATAGTGATTAAAGGAAATCTCATGAACCACAGGGCAGGATGAATTTCCAGAGCCAAATCTTGATTATACCAAAACAATGGTAACAGTTTCACAGACATTGCTGCTCAGGCTTATACAATATGATAGGGCTCACACACTTCTGGAAATCTGTTTTCTATTTTCTCCTCTCACTAAAAATCTAGGCTCCAGTGCTACCATTAAAATGCCTGAGTAGATGAGACAAATAATTCCCTTTCAGTTAAAAAAAACAGTCAACCTCTTCACAAATTTTAGATTCTTCCTGCCTCCCAGCTGGCTGAGGATGTCTTCCCTAAAGCACATAAAAGGACATTGCTTGGAAAAAAAGATTTTAGTACATGTGGTAGATTTCATGGACCTGGCTCAAGCATTATTATGCACAAGTTCAAATATTTTGCATTGTTGAAAGTGCAGTGTATTTTATGCAATAACAAAGTGAGAGAAAAGTGCAGCAGTTTTTAAAAACTAAGCAAACTGAAATTAACATTCACGGGCCATGCGGGCTGGCACTTACTCCAGTTGGCATGAGTATAAAGATTTATATGTACACATATGTAAAGATCTTCTGGAACAAGAAGGAAACATATGAACATGACTTTCCTGTCCTGCTCTTGATCTTTCTCCTGTGAGATCAAACAGCACAAAAAACTAACTAGGATGCTGTGCATATTCAAAGAAATTATGGACAGGATTATTTAAGCTTTCTGTAATTAAACATTCCAGTGGAATTAAATTTGATAATTATCTGTTGTGTAAGAATTTGACATGAGATGGTAAAAAATGAAGTATTTTACTCATATAGATGTAAAAACTGGAGGCACGTAATTTGTGTTCACATGTACACTATGTTAATTTTAATCCTGTATGTTCTCATGTGTTTTCAAGTAAAAGTTAAGTTGGTTCCTTAAGGCACTTATTCAGGATCTGGTATACAAAGAACAGGAATTTCTGAGTAATTATCCCTGGTTTCACACTGATGCACCTCCAGGCGAGCACCTTAGACAAGTACTTTTTAAACACAGCAGGTAATTTTGGATGTAATTTTGCATTTGAAAAACCTTAGGCTTGATTTTCAAAACTGATATGAACAGCTTCAGTTACAGCTGTCCAGTTGCAGCCAGTCAGAGTTCACCTCAGTTAGGCCGGAAGCTCAAAACAAGCAGAGAGGAGTAAAAGCATTTAAGAATAATGCTAACTTCCCAGGATCACTAAAACAAAGACAAACGTTTCTAAGATGGATCTTTTCAGGTATGAAAGTATTCTCAAGAAAGGTTGTAAGGATCACAAGCTCTCACTGCGCCTCTGAGAACTAAGTGGTGCTTCAGACCCAAAACAATGTGCTCTGCCACTACCCCAGAAGTGCTGGTGTTTGCTGCAAACACTTTTCAGCTGTTCACCAAACAGCTGCTGAACTGCACTGAATACCAAGACGAGCCATCAGCCCTTTCCTGTGAGGGAACCACTACTGCTATCCCAAGATACACTCCTGTAGGAATTTACAGCAGGCAGATGGAGTTTTGGCTGCATACTCCAAAATCCAATGAATTAGCTAAAAAACTGAGATAAAATTAATTGAGTGCACATAAGTATAAGGCTTTGCTCAGATACTTGCTCTTAGCTGCATCTGTATGATCTTACATTTCCAAAACCTTCAAATTATAACAAACTGTTCACATTAACAATAAGATCAATTAATGGATTAGGTTCAATTAACAGAATAATATACTTGTTCGGTTATCAGATTTTGAAACTTTTTACCTGAATTTGAAATCTTTCCACTGTTGGCTGTCCCTGCGTTTCCAGGAGCAACAAACACTTGTTTTACATGTGGGGACTGGGCCAGCTTCCAGGCCAGTGCATGCTCTCTGCCTCCACTGCCGATCACAAGCACTCGATCAGCCATTAGCCTGCGCAAAACCAAACACAAGCAACATCGCCAGAGTTGGGAGTGTGAGGTTAGGAAAGCAAGAGCATCATGGAACGTAATGTTGGGTGCAAGGAACTCTGAGCAGTGCTGAATGTCACTTTTTTTCAGGCAATGATGTTTCTATTGGGGTTTGTTGGTTAAAAAAAAAAAAAAAAAAAAAAAAGTACATGGAAAGACATAACTGACTTAATGAGGTGTGACAGAAAATAAATGTCAAACACTGAAATAAACCACAGGGCTATCTTGTTTTTCTTTCATCAGACTGGCAACTGTTGTACTGAATCTGGGATATAGAAAAAAATCTTCAATTGGCCAGGCTGTGATTTGTAACTCATAGACATTTCTGGTGAATACAAGCCTGCAAAAGACAAAGTCCTTGGTATTAATTAATTGTATTAATTGTATTTTCTTACAGAGCCATAGGAATTTAATTGGAACCTGAAACACTTTGGTGGAAATATCGGAAAAATGTCTGAATACTTCATGAAAGGGAAAGATTAAGAGCAATGAGACAGGGTGATCAGCTCTACTCTTAATAGAACGAATTGCAGAATCACAGAATCCTTTGAGTTGAAGGAACGTCTGAGGCCCATCTATTCCAACTCCCCTGCGATGAACAGGTTGCCCAGGACCTGATCCAGCCTAGCCTTAAAAGTCTCCAGGGACAGAGCATCAATCACAATGCTAGGCAACCCAAAAGGGGAAGCAGAAACCTAACACAAATTTCCCTTGGGACTGAACGACTCTTATAGGCTGTCCACAGTTTAACAAGGCAAAGTTTTGTTAGCCTTTGCTTTTTTAAAGACAGGTTTACCTCTACACATATTCTCTACACACTTATTTGTATAAGTCACCTCAAAATTGTCATCCCAGCAATGATACCACACAACTAGCAGGGGAACAGAGGATGTCACTAACATTGGGAAAGAACACTGGAATTCAGAAAGTAGTAAATAAGTACGTATTCCTTTATGTGGAGATTCTTAGAAAGCAAAGGCTAACTCCCAGTGGTACTCAAAGAACAAGCTGCTATAGCCATGTTAGTTCAACCAAGTACAAAATACACACAAAGATGATGGAACTGCACTGGTTAAGGTCAGAGTTTTATCAGCAGAAGGCAAGGGATGCCTGGAGAAGCCATTCAGCAAGGCATGGAGTGAGCAGCTATGCACAGGTGTCTGGAATAGTGTTCATTACTTCCAAAAAGTAATCTAAAAGCTCTAAGTCACAACACAGGCAAAGTAAGCATCTAAACACATAAAATGATTTCAAGCATGGCAAGTATCAAAAATAAATACAGCTTTGTGTGGAAACTGGCATGATCGACTTTGAGGACTTTGCAACGACAGCGAAGTAGTGCGACATGCCTCCCTGCTGCACAAATCACCTTCCCTTGTTCAAGGGGAGGGACGCGGCCTTGGTAAGAGCCTCAGCTCCACGTAACACACAGCCTCCCTGTTGCAATACCAGCATACGTAGTGTCTAACCCTTGGTCAATGGCCCTTGACCCACGCTTGCCAGTGTGTGCGGAACCCTCCAAGGCAGGTGGGGGAAGGCCTCACACCACTGCTGGAGCACACAGAGGCGGCAGCTCCCTTTGAGGTCAGAACTCCTGTGGGAGGGTGAGAGAGCTAGCACAGTGTATATCCTCAGCATGAGGAGAAACAAACCTACCCAAACCAGACTTCTAAGGGAAAAGTGATCTTACCAGAGGCATACCAGATGTTCAGCCAATTGATGGGGCAGGGCATGTGCTTCTCCCCCATCCCAGCTGCTAGTAGGACAGCTGAACCCCCCAGCTCCAGGAACTGCCCAGATAGCTCTGTAGACCCCTCCCCCCCACACACAAAAACCCAGCTGTCTCGAAAGCCTGGACTCCAAAGGAGATGGCTTCTGCTTTGAGGGCTCCCATGATGTGCATGCTGAGCCCCATTATTAAACCCAAGTCCTCTGTAACACAATGCAACCCCCACGCATTCTAGAATACACCCCCATGCCATTTCTTTAATCCATTAACAAAGGAATGATTTGTTCAGAGAATGATAATTTTAGGCAAAACATGCATTCAAAATAAAGACAAAAGAAACATGAATAAAAGGACAAAATACGGACAATCAACACTGAGTTTTAACAATAAACTAAACACATCAGAGTTAAAATTTAAGAGTGCTTTCAGGTTGGGAGAGTCCAATAGGTTTCTATTAAAACGTTTGGCAAAATACATACTGTAGAGTTGCAATAAACTTCTTAGATTCCTTAAAGTAAGAAAAAAAATACCTGGGAATAAAAATTAACAGTTACGACAAACTATTTGGGATGCAAATTTATGGCAAAGCTCTTTGATATTGCAACTTAAGCAAAAAAAAACACCACCAACTACATATATATATATATTACATATATATTTATTTTATATATATATATATATGTACATATAAAAGACTAAGAGGTTGGCTACATTGAAAGGATAAGCTAGATGTAGACAGTAACCTAGGGCAAAAGAATGCTGTGTAAAAGAATAAATGTCATGTAGCAGACAGCTGCCTTAACCCAGCAAGCTTAACCCAGCAAGCATGTTTCTAGTGCAGTTCACAGTCATCATTAAATAACAAGTTGAAATATACATGACAGCATTTTTTACAGGCGTATCAGAACTGAGAGCAGAGTTATAAACCAAACTGGAGAATATACTTACACTATCCTATGTGTTGCTGGCCTGAGGAAAGTAATGCTGGGGAGTTCAGGAATGAAAAGAGAACGGAGAAGACCAGCCTCTAGTTAAAATGTAGCGCCCTGCTCCAGTATCACCACCCATTGATAACATGCATGCCTAGCCATTGGACAGGTCATTTCAGGTGGGAAAACAGAACAGAACAGAACAGAAACCAGCATACGTATGGTTGAGAAACAAGCAGCAAAAACTTCACAGAGCAGAAGCAGCCCACTTTATTGTTCCTGCACATTCAGAATAAATTCTGCCTCACTCAAATTATTTTTTGCAGTCGAAAAATATTCACTAATCAGATCATAAACATCCTCTATTTAAAAATGATGCTGTGCATACTCCCATGAATATCAACAGCATGGAAGAATACGATGCATGATACATATTTATGCTCCATTAAGCCTCCTACATAAAAATATTAGGAAATGCTTCAAGATCCAATGAAACTGCTGTCAGCTGAAGTAAATCACCCTGCTTATAAATCAGTCAAACGGCCATTCTTCTTCCCTAAAAGTAGCATATTCTAATAGTTGTCAGACAAAACAAACAAACAAACAAAAAAACCATAAAATTTTATATGGAAGCAGTTAATGGAATAAACCATGTGCCATATGTTCAAATGAAAAATCATCATTCTGCAATAAAATATGAGGAAAAAAAAAAAGCGTTTTGGCCATTTTTTTTATTTTCAGGAACTCAACTTATTTGTGCATCCCCCAAAAGGTATCCTAGCAACTTTTATTGAGGGATGCAGCTTGACAAGAACTTCTTCTGGTGGCAATTTCAGTTTCAGTTCAGGAAGCCCAAATAAAGTACTGGCAGCCTTTCTTTTTCACACTGACTGTAAAGATGCAGTGTAGGCCCTCCATTGCCCAGTAATATCACAGAATCATAGAATCCTTAGAGTTGGAAGGGATCTTTAAAGGTTCATCTAGTCCAACTACCCTGCAATGAACAAGGACATGCACAGCTACATCAGGTTGCCCAGGGCCTGGTAGAGCCTCACCTTGAAAGTTTCCAGGGACAAAGCATCAACCACATCAGTATTTCAGTGCCTCGCCACTCTCAACTGTAAAAGACTTTTTCCTTATATCCAATTTAAATCTCTCCTTTTTAATCTTGAAGCCATTTCCCCTTGTTCTATCACCACAGACCCTGCTAAACTCTCTGTCTCCTTCTTTTATATAGCTCCTCTTTAGATACTGAATGGCTGCTATCAGATCACTTTAGAGCTTCTCCAGGCTGAACAGCCCCAGCTCTTATAGCCTGTCCTTGTACAAGACGTATTCCACCCTTCGGATCGTTTTTGTGGCCCTCCTCTGGATACCCTCCAATAGGTTTATGTTTCTCCTGTGCTGAGGACTCCACATCCAGACACAGTACCCTGGGTAAGGCCTCACCAGTGCAGAGCCTCAGAGGCAAGATCACCTCCCTTGCCCTGCTGGCCACACTTCTTTGGATGCAGTCCAGGATACAGTTGGCTTTCTGGGCTGTGAGGGCACATCGCTGACTCATGTCCAGCTTCTCACCTAATGGTACGGTACCCCAGGTATTTTTCAGCAGGGCGACACTCAATCCTTTCATCTCCTAGCTGGTATTCATAGTGAGGGTTATCTTGACCCAGGCGCAAGATCTTGCATTTGGATTTGTTGAACCTCACGAGTTCACCTTGGCCCAGTGCTCAAGGTGTCTCTGTCCAGGTCCCGCTGGATGGCACCTGTCCCTCTGATGCACCAACAACACCTCACAGGTTGGTGTCATCGGCAACCTTGCTGAGGGCACACTCCACTCCACTATCAATGTCATTGATGAAGGTCTTAAAGAGTATTGGTACCCCTGGGGACACTGCTCGTCACTGATCTCCATCCACTGAGTCATTGACCACCACTCTCTGGACGCTATGCTGCAGGTAGTTCTTCATCCGCTGAAAGTCCACCCAGGGGTATGTTGTCAAAGGCCTTACTGAAGTCCACACAGACGACATTAATGGCTCTTCTCTTATCCATCGATGCATTGACACCATCATAAAAGGTTACAAGGTTGGTCAGACAGGATTTGCCCTTGGTGAAGCCATGCTGGTTCTCCAAAGTATTATGTACCTCCTCACTGGGGAATCAAACCCCAGCCTCCCATGTGACAGGCGGAGATACCACAATACTCATGAGGAATTGTACATAACTGTCATTAAAAATGAAAAGTTCCAAAAAAAGGGAGATTCAAAAAAAAAAAAAAAGAAAAAAAGAAAAATTCTTTTTACCATTAATCCAGAAGTCAACAATCTGTTTTCAAACAACCAAAAGCCATTCGCAAAGTAGACCATTTCTTCTATGAGAATTACCACACGTGTTTTTTTTTGGAGAACATACGTGAAATCCTTAAATCTTCTCATTAACAGGAAGAAGTCAAAAAGAATCTAAAGCATGGTACATTGTTACCATAAGTAAACATCATCTGCCTTCATAAAGAAGGAACGTATGTTTGTTTAAAAGATATCTTAAAGAAAGACGGCATTTCAAGCAAGGACCAGTTACCAAGTTCTTAGACAAAATAAGAACAGGAAAGCAAAACCAAGCTAATTACTCTGAGTATCTGAGAGGAGAGGACATGAGAATGCAGTGAAGGCAATTTCCAGAGCCTATTCCTGAAGTTGCCAGCTGCTAGTCAGCAGGGATGAGCATCAGCCTAGAGACCTTTATCGTCCTCAAGGATGGGGCTCATTAAGAAGCTGGGCAACTCCTCCACGAAGTCAGGGCCTTTGGAGTGAAAAAAAATAATGAGAACGGTGCAAAACCAACAATATATAGCAGCTTTCCTTGTACTGGCTCCTCCACAAGGCACAGGGAGATTTCAAATACAGACAGAAGTGAGACAAGACTACTAATTCAGTAGCTGCCCTTTAACTAGTAACAGGGAAGGGACATGAGCCACCATCTCCTACTGGAACTGATTCTGCGCTCAGACTGGGATGTTAAACTGAGCTCCTTAGCTGTATTAATGCAAAGCTTACGAAGATAGCTGTGTAAGTGTATGAATTCAAACTCTTTAAGCTAAATCATAACGCCACCCATCCCCATCTAAACAGATTTCTGCCAGCTGAATTGACTAACTGTGCAATCAACCAATAACTAGTGGCACTAAAAGTAAAGAGATGGGACAACAGAGATGGGCAGAAAGAGCTAAATGTCAAGACCTGCCTTTTAAGCTGCAGCAATCTACTGCATGACTGCACACCTAACATTTAATCTTAGCCACTGCCTAATTAAAAGCTGCAATACTTTAACTTTTCAACACTGGGATTGTGATAACCTGATGCAGACAGTCAGGTTTCTTTATACAAAATATATGGTCCAAGCCCACAATGTCTTAACTCCTACTTTTCCCAGAAGAAAGGTTATAAAACAGCTATAAAGCAGCTTAGCATTGATAGCTCTTAGTCCAAATATAGAGACTCCAAGCCTAGCATCACCAAGCCCATACGTCCCAGTGCCTGGAAAAAAGCTTCTCCCATCAAACTTCGGACTAAAGGAGAAAGTTCACTGTTTCTCTTGAAGTTAGGCAAAAGAATAAAAAGAAATTATGCCTCACAGGACACAGAAAGAACGCAAAATCAAAATGCTCTGCAATTCATGTGCCGCTCCACAAACTGTTGCATGCCCCCTCCCCCCCCCCCTTTTTTTTTTCCCCATAATCAGTAGCTGGATAAAATATTAAAAGAATGGCTTGGAACAGAAGCCAAAACCTAGGACTTTCCCTTATCAACTTCAGCAGCTGAGCTGCTCTGTAGCGTCCCCCTGGAATCTGCCATCCTTTACTTGGCTCCTGCACTTTCCAGCACAGAGCCAAATCCTCAGCTCTTCTGCTCTCTGAATTAACACTAATCAGAAGGCTGAAAATAGAGTTCCGCTGCACATCATGATGAATACACAAAGATCTTCATACGCGTGAGGTAAAGGCTATGAGTGCACAAAGATCTCAGTACACACAAGGAAAGTTCTCAGCTAGCCTTTTCAGAGAACCTTTGTCAGCTTCTGGACCCTGTTCAAGCTTGGATTAAAAAAAGAGCTGAAATGCGCAGGGTTTAGGTTGACCTACCAGTGTTTCACAGTTGGCCTGTGCTGGTCCTTGCTACTGCAGTCTTGCTATGGGTCTTATTCTCTCCTCCACTTCCAGCCTCTTGCTTGAGTGCCAAATGTATGCCTTGTGTGTCACAAGGATCAGGAAGCCAATAGTGCTGGAAAACTAACACCAAAACAGTAACTCAGAAAAGTCATAATTATAAAAAGGAAATTAACAGCACCCTCAGATCACTTGATTGTTCAAGGAGCCACAATACCCCTGGTAGCACATACCACTTCATGGTGCACTTTCTCACCTATCTGCCTGTTTCACCTTCTCCCCCAGTTGCTTATAGTCCCAGGAACAGTCACATCAGGGAATGAGACTTGGGCGAGGATGTTTCTAACAGGGATCAGTTTCCTGAGTGAAGTCACTGTGCCAATTGTGCAGGCAGCTCTGCTGGTGCGATGCAAGGTGCAGAAACAAATACCCACAATGCCTGAGCCAGCAGAATGGCCAAAACACAATGCAGCTGCAAGTTTTAGCTAGGCTGGCATGTAACTTCTACTTGTGGAAATTGATGCTGCCTTTAAGCTAACATTTAATTTCCTCAGGTTTCAATACCAGAAAGAGATACTTTAAGATTTCAGAGATCTCTATAATCAGGTTCTTCATTTATGATCAACTTCTGGCCCCTAGAAGGCCTGCATGCTAATTAGGAACAAGCCACGGATCTTCCATGGCCTGAACTGAGAACCTTTGAGACAGGCACTATACTCCAAACAGCCAGATTGTGCATTTCCTAGGCAAACCATCATCAGGTTATCTCCCCAGTACAAATAAGAAGCTAAATGGTGCTGTTATTTCCCCTGCCCCAAAGCACAAAATTTGGATGACTGGGACTGTGAGAAAGCCGAAAGCCCTCCATGTTTCCATAGAGGTCTGGAACTACTAACAGGAACTACTGTGCGAGAACCAGAAGGAGCAGGGAGGCTGAAGTAAGGAACATCCTTTCTATTTTGGGTATAAACAGTGAAGTGTATACTCAATCTGCTCATTAATTTCAAGCTTCCACAAGATGAATTACCAGAGGGGAAAAAAAAAACAACAACAACAACAAAACAACCCAATATTCAAGTCGGTTGATGAGCCCCCAGCTTTGCAAACACCAGGGCTAGGAATTACAAGTCAATCAAAGTCCACAGCAAGAAAAGCCAAAAGTTGAATATTTACTTTAAAGCAAATATTTCACCACTTTTTTTTTTTTTTTTTTTTTTTTGAAACCAAACAGAGGGAAAAGCACATGAATAACAGCTGCGTGCACTTTAAAATAATTTAAACTGCGGCATATTTAGAAAAGTCAGAAAACAAGAGCCCCCAAAGTACATTCGGAGAGGAGGCAGGCATTTTAAATAAAAAGCTGACAGCCAGCAGCAGCCATCGCTCTACACGGCTCCTTATCGCAGCGTGTGAGGAAAGCGCAGAGCTCCAGGCAGGGGCCAGACCCCGCCATTTTGCATCGCGGGCAGCACATGGCCCCGCAGCCGCCTTGCCGCTCGGCTTCTTCTCGGCGGTCAAGGCCCGGCCGAGGGTGGCTGACCCCGAGAGCGGGCTGCCTGCACGGCCAGCGCAGCCCGGCCTTCTGCAGAGCGAGAGAATCACTTACTTTCTTCGGGGGGATTTTAAGGATGGGGAAGGCGTGCTCCGCCGCGCCGCCAAAACTACAGTACCCAGGGGGCGCCGCGTGGGCCCGGGGCGGGGGCTGAGGAGGGAAAGTAAAACTGTGGCTCGGAGACCAAGGAATGGGCTTTTGCTTTTAAATTCTTACGATCTAAAAATATCTTCATCTCCATCTCAGCGAGTTGCTGAGCTCAGCGAGAGATCCATCTGAAAAGCCGTACCTACACGGAGATGACTGTATGGTTTTGCCTTGAGAGCGTGGCTCCAGAGTGCAAAGGTGAACTTTGCTAAGTTAGTAGGATGGTACTGTGCAAAGATTGAGTTTGTCCTCGTGCCTTCTCAGCTAGAAACGCCCTGAACAGCTTTAAGTACTGAATAGGAGCAGCCCTCCGGTTTGTATTAATGAAACCAAAGAGCGCTGGGCAGCTTTTAGACAATAATTTATCATAAAACTGTGCAACAACACATTAAGGAAAACAGATTTGATCCTTACATTTGTTCTCCCCCGAGAATTTGTATGAAAACCTTGTTCTTTGGAACTAGTTTATGAACTACAGATTTAATAAAGACTGTGTTCATGTTTCAGCACAACTTTGGTTCTTGCTTCCAAAAGGAATGCAAAGAGATACTGGTAGAGTAGCACTGACAGCTTCAGAACTGCTGTGAGTGAAGTGGTAACACTTGGCTTTCAAACTGAATGCAAAATGTACCAGGAACAACACCCTGGTGTGGCAAGATCCAAATAAGGCTTCACTTAATTCATCAGAAGACAAATCAGCACCTGAGTAAAGGTGTATAACTGAGGATGTTTTTCTTATTTATCAGCAAATAAAAAAAAATTAAAAAATAAAAATAAAAAAGGAAGAATTACTTTCCTATGGGGCCGTGGATATTCCTTTCTACCAACAGTGACTTTTCTAGTTAACTGTCTTCTGTTCACTTTTAGGCAGCCAGAGTGAAAGATGCAGCACTTGTTAAAATCCCTTTTTTTTTGTTGTGCTCTTGTCTTGTTGACAGAGGCCTACTCTGATGGGGCTATTCCTGAAGTTAATCTACTTTGAATGAATTAACTTAGTTGAGAAGGGCTCGGTTCCTAAAGACCATTCACATAAGGAAAAACTACGTGTATGAAACAGATCAAGTGAAGCACTTTCACTCTAGCTTATTGCGTATCAGAAATATTAATAATATCTAAACTCTATTAACATAGGCATGGCATTACAGGTACCATTAGTTGTAAAAATGCCTCTTAAATATAACTGCTTTGTGTTGTAACTTGACATACAAGTAAGGAAATTGATCCCAATACTAAGCCTATGATTTTTACTAAGTTCATATCAAAACAGGCCACTTCCCAGTAATACATAGTAAAAAACAATGCTGCTATTAAAGGGTCTTATTATTAAACCACATTAAATTGGAGGTTGATGTTGCAAGTAGAAACCCAAGCAACAATTAAAAGTTTCCTCTAAGTTTTGAAGGTTTAAAAAAAATATATATTTTAGATAAACTAAACCGTTCAGGGAATGAGAAGAAAACCTATGGGGACTGAAATGGTGGGGGGTCTTCCAGGACTGAGAATGGCAAAGTAATATTCTACACATGTATACACGAGAATTGCTTTGGAAGCTAAGGAGGGCACCCCCACAACATCTGGACTCCAGCAAAACACCGCAGAAGAGTCACAGCTTTCAGGCGCACCGTATTCGCGGCGAAGGGGGCATTCATTCCCCTCTCTTTCTTTGTTCCTTCTCCCCCGTCCCGCGAGGCGCCCGCCCGGCCCCGCCGCCAGCCCCCGGAGCACATGTGCGTGTCACAGCCGAGCTGCCCGGCCCGGCGGCGGCGGGGGAGGGCGCCTTTCGCATGGAGCCGTTCGCTGAGTGAGGGCAGCGCGGCGCCGGGCCCTGTGATGCAGTACTCGTGCGCGGGCAGGCCCCCCTGCTAGGCGCTGCCTGCGCGCTACACGCGGGGCGGCGGAGGCGCGGGGCTTGGCCCCGCTCCATGGAGACCAATGGCATCGCTCCCACCCACCCCCACGGGCCCCGAGCCCGCCGGCACGCACAGCCACACGCCTCAGCCCACCATGGCCCCAACGCCGCCGCCGCTCGGGCCCTCGACGAGGTGAGTGGCTCCTCCACGGTGGCCCGGCCGGCTTTCGCACCCGGAGGCGACCGCCATCGCGACGGGGGGAGCGCGCGGGGAGGGTGGGGGGGTGTGTGCGGCGCGAGGGGGGCCTGGAGGGCGGCCATCACGGAGCCCTCCGTCGCCCCCCCTCCTTGCCGCTCTCCCCGGCGGCCGAGGCGCGGCGTTGCGGTTCGCGGGCTACGAGAGGCCGGCAACGGGCGGCGGGGGGTGCGCATGTATATGTGCGTTGGGGAGTTCTGCGTGGCGACGGTTAACGGTTTTATTCGTTAAGGCCGTTGGAGGGGTGGGGGGAGGGCAGGGCAGGACCGCGACCGTTCGGCGGGGCTGTGTTTGTCGGTGGGGTCGAGAGGGGGGACTGTTGGCGGGCTGGAGGGGGAGGGTAAGAGCACCAACATGGCGGCGCGCTACCGCCGGGGGGAGGGGGAACGGCGGACTTCATTAAGACACGAGACAGCACCCCCGCCCCCCCCACCGGAAGTCAGCCAGGTCTGCCGCTCTATGGCTTTCGCTGAGTGCTAGAGCGACACTACGAGCGCCCGCTGCTACTCGCCCCCCCTTCTGCGTTACGTCACGCCGTGAGGGTAGCCAATAGCGTGAGGGCTCGCAGCGAGTACGTCAGCAGGAGCTCTCGTCCGCTCTCTGCCGCGGTGCATTGTGGGATAGGGGAGGCCTCGCTTCTCGGCAGGAAGGAGCGGCGCGGGGGGGGCCGGCGCGCTAACGCTGTTAACGCTGTCATGGCGACTAATATCGAGCAGATCTTTCGCTCTTTCGTGGTTAACAAATTCCGGGAGATCCAGGAAGAGCAGCAGCAGCAGCACGGCGGGTAACAAGCCGCGGCGGGGGAAGAGGAGCGGCCTGGGCCGCTATCGCGCCTGGGCCTAGGGCGCGGGAGGAAGGAGGGGAAGGAGGGAGGGCTGAACCGTGCGCGGGCTCCGCCTCGGGACGGCGTGAGACGGTCCGGGCCTGGGGCTCGCACGGCTCGTATTAAGCTGCGACGTGGCTGACTTCGGGGGGTTGCGGCCTTGCAAACGCCTTCAGCGAAAGCAGCCGGGGGGGTGTAAGGGCGGGCGAGCGGGCATGCAGTATCTTTTTTTATTTTCACGGATGGGATTTCCGTGGTGGCCTCACGTCTGTGGACGGAGGGGAAAGGATGAGTGTGGTTTGTTTGGTTTGTCTTGCTGTTCTTATTCGTTTTAACTTCACCCCGTTGTTTTTCACAGCCTTATCTCGGAAAGCAAGCAAAATGTGCTAGAAAAGATTGAGTGATGAGTGCTTACTTTGCTTTGGGAGTTGATGGGCATGTATAACTTCCAACGTAAAGCATGGCGGCTTATTCATTAGAGGACAC